CTTCTTAGGCGCCTCGCTCCGGCTAGGGCTGCTCCCCTCGCTGCATGGCTTAAAGGGCGGCGTCCAGCCGCGCCACGCATGTCCCTGGGTCCTGTGTGCCCAGGGCCGGGGAGTGGGGGGCTAGGCTTGTGGCAGGCCTGCTGAAAAAGTTGCCCCCCTGCTAGTGTAGAGCCAGAACCTGGAGCAGTTGATTAATATTGGCCCTCGGGGTGTGGACAGCTTCTCTAGATCCCAGTTGAGATGGGGTGTGCACATGCTGATTTAAAAAAATACTTCTGGGATGCTTTCCCTCTTGGCCTGGGTCTGTTGGCTCCACCGAGCAGTTCCTTCAGGAGTTACAGATGCTCTTGAGTGACTGCTTGTGCTTGTCTCGCTCTCTTCTCTTCACATTGGTCTTAATGGAGTTCTTTGACCTCTGGACCCAAATCATGTGAAGCACTACTAAGAAATTTGTGGGGGTTTTTTAAGATTAAATGCCTCCTTCAGCAGATGCAACTGAAGGATTTCTCCATCATCCTCCACTACAAGCATGTTTGCCTGACTCTCTGACATAAGCATTCTAATTGCAAATAATTAATCAAGCAGCCTTAACTGTAACAAACTCTGAAATGGCTAATAAATGGTAATCCCAACTGGCATAAGTGTGCCTGCAACTACCCTAAATTAAGTTAGCAGTGAGCTGGAACAACTTGGCCTACATGAAACAGCCCTAAGTTTAGCTTGTAGAACTACATCTATCCCCACAGTACATGAATGTCATCACTTTGCTGGCTAAGTCCCTGCTTGCTCTGACTTGTTTTGTCCGTACTCTGGGATACTTATTCCTAATAAATAGAATCCAAATAGTTGGAAATGTGACTGGAGTTGTTCTCTAGTTTTTCACTAAGCTTTTTTTGTTGCAACTTTTTCCCTTTTTATATTTAACTCTTTTCTTTTTTTTTCTTTTGACCACAACAGCAAAACATCCTGAGATAAAAGCCTTGATGAAGCCAGACCGGCACTTGATCTGGGTAGTTGTACTGATGGTTCTTGCACAGTTGATAGCATTTTATCTTGTTAAAGACTTGGACTGGAAATGGGTTATATTCTGGGCTTATGTGTTTGGAAGCTGTATTAGTCATTCAATGACTTTAGCTATTCACGAGATCTCCCACAATAGTGCCTTTGGCAACTGCAAAGCAATGTGGAATCGATGGTTTGGGATATTTGCCAATCTTCCTCTTGGCCTCCCATATTCCATATCCTTCAAGAGATACCACATGGATCATCATCGCTACCTGGGAGGGGATGGCATTGACGTGGATATTCCAACTGACTTTGAGGGCTGGCTTTTCTGTACTCGTTTTAGGAAGTTCATTTGGATTGTTCTTCAACCCCTGTTCTATGCCATTCGACCTCTCTGCATCAATCCCAAACCTATTTCTCGACTAGAAATCATCAACTTGTTAGCCCAGCTCTCTTTTGATGTTGTGATATATTACTTCTGGGGAATAAAGTCGGTATGTTACATGCTAGCAGGTTCAGTGCTTGGACTGGGACTGCACCCTATTTCAGGACACTTCATAGCTGAACACTACATGTTTCTAAAGGGGCATGAGACTTATTCCTATTATGGGCCACTCAACTTGCTCACTTTTAATGTTGGCTATCACAATGAACACCATGACTTTCCTAATATTCCTGGCAAGAGCCTTCCATTGGTAAGTGGAGGGGTGTGTGTGTGTGTGTGTGTGTGTGTGTGTGTGTGATTGGTTTGAGTTCAAAGCTAATATAAATATTCTTGCCTAAGCTGTGGTCTAAATAAGATGCTGTAGGTTGCAGATTCTTCAATAAAGATCAGTATAGCACTCTCCAGAACAGGTTGGTAACCTTGCTACTGCAGACTGTTCTGTGTGACTCTACTGCTGATGCTTATCCTTTCTGTAGTGCAAGTAAGCTGCAGGCTTTCCAGTGGAGCCAACCCAACTTTCTTGGGATGAAAGCCTTGTAGGACAGCTTTCATTTGTCCCTCCTAACTAGAGATGCTTATCGGCTATCTAGTTGCTTCCTGTTTAACAAGCCACAACTAAACATGTCTATTCCTCACTGAGTGGAGTGTTTCCAAGGTCTTGATAAGTCATCCTGCAAGGGAACTTTACAGCAGGGGTTGGCAGCATTTTTGGCCAGAGTGCCAAAAACACCCCAACTCTGACTTGTGCCTCAATTTGGCATGCCAGGGACAGACCAATGTGGGGGGTGGGGTTAACAAGGGGCTGGCTGCATATGTGTCTGGATGGGGGTGAGGGGGGGGTGCACTGCACTGATTTTGGCCAGAGTGCCAAAAACACCCCAACTCTGACTTGTGCCTCAATTTGGCATGCCAGGGACAGACCAATGTGGGGGGTGGGGTTAACAAGGGGCTGGCTGCATATGTGTCTGGATGGGGGTGAGGGGGGGGGGCACTGCACTGCCCCAGCTTCATCCCTGTCCTGCTGAGGCACATGTGCAGTTGTGGCCACCACAGAGCCTGGCTGTGGCTTGAGCCCAGTGCAGTCGGCCATGAAGCTAAGCTGCTTGCAACCTCTCTGCTGCAAGCAGCCCAGTTTCATGGCTGGTAGCAGCTGCTCAGAGCTGAGGGGGAGCTGTTGTGTGCTGAGCGGGATGGCCTTGTGTGCCATGCTCTGGCACATGTGACCAGGGGCTGCCAACCCTTACTCTAAAGCTTTTTAATATGATCTATATGATGGCTAGTTTAGCTAGAGCTGCATCTCATCTGAAAGCTTAAGATGTAATGCATACACTACAGCTTCATCAGTGGACAGTAATGGAGGATTGCATTACTTGCAGGGTTTACAGATCTTTGTCAACACTCCTTTTTCTGTAGTGGAAGTGTGGGTGTTTCACAAGTCTAGAATGTGGTAATCAGTTCTACAATATATCCTTGCAGATTTCTCAGACTATTACCATAAATGGGCTTTTGACCATGTTACTTAACTAACTGGAGTACTCTTAACCTAAGCCCATTTTGCTTAGGAAAAGCAGCAAATGAAGAAAACCTGCACAATAACTGGATCCCATGAGAGATTCTTAATAGCCTCCTTAGTGTACATAAGGGAAATTCCTATTTCTTTAGCTTCTGAAATAGGAAAACATCTTTAAAGACTCCAGAAGGATGCACTGATAGATATTTCTAATGGATTTCTACACTTTAGTCTGTATTCAGCAAGTCTAGTTTTGACCATCCCTAGTTCAGGGCTCCAAAGGTATGTCTGCACTTTCACAGATCAGTGCTATGGGCAGTGGAATGCACTATGCCTGCTCTACTTCCATGGTCTCCCAAACCAGCTGGCTTAGTGCATAAGGGGCTTTCTGGTGCAAGACCACCTTTCTCCTTGGAAAAATGCTCCAAATTGCATCGCAAAACTACCTTTGCTATCTGAACTTGGACCTGGATGATGTCCTAGTTGAATAGTAGAGCGACTAACAGGCATATGGGACTCAACAGAATTGTCATTGGTCTTGGCAGGGATGTTAACTTTTAACATGTTTGATTTATGTTCCCCTAAATGGCACTTTCTCACAGTATGCATGGAAGCCTGAATCTGTTCAGTGAAGTTCTTGCTCACCACAAATTGCCTTTTCTTAAATTTGGGAAACTAGCAAAATCTGAATGTTTCTCATCAATCACGTGTGTGTGTGTGTGTGTGTGTGTGTGTGTGTGTGTGTGTGTGTGTTTTTTGTTTTTTTTTGGGGGGGGTGCAAATCGCATACATTAAAGTGTGTGTGGTGTTAATTCCTAATGCTCTTCAAGGCTTGAAGTGTATAGAATAGGGGTAATACTTTTCTAGTCAGTTTAAAGTGAATCTCTTACTCTGGATTGCTGAAGGGTGGACCAGGTTTGCTTCAAAAAGCACTAGCAGATATGTCTTGGGGAAACTTTCTGTTTATTTACACTTGTTTCTCTTTATTTTTGCTTTAGGTGAAGAAAATAGCAGCTGAATACTATGACAACCTGCCACAATATAATTCTTGGATAAAAGTGCTCTATGATTTTGTGATGGATGATACAATCAGTCCATACTCGCGTATGAAAAGGCATTTAAAGGGTGATGTGAAACAAGAGTGAACTTCTGGTGACCAAAAATTGGATATGTCAAGAATGTTGCTCTAAAATAGGTGGTACAAGGCATCTCCTGCTAAAGATGTGTATTTGTATACTGAATAATTTAAACTAATTCAACAATCTACAAGAGTACATCACTATATCCTAAAACAAAGACCTCTACGACAAGTTAGAGTAGACTGGCACCAGCTGTAACGCCCCTAGAAGCCTTCAGCTTCGTTGGTATAATCTACATCTTGTTTAACTAAACTTTGTTCAGTGTTAAGTATATACGACTGTCACTGTTACAGGATTTTCTTTTTTTTGGCAGGTGTTAGCAGATCTTGTACTAAAAAAACAACTTTCTGTCTTGTGTATTTATTCTTCCTTCTTTCCTGAGATTCTCAATATGCACTTTTGGCTTTAGCATGGTCACTGAGAGTGTACTAATGTTCACAGCTTAGTTGCTTTGTCATGTTGCAAGTTTTATATTTAATTAGTAAATCATGTTAAAATAAGGTGGTGTTAATTTTAAATTAATTGTGGAAATTTTAATTTTACTGTTATGCTTCAGGTCATTAATCTAAAATGGAAGTAACTAGTAAGATAGATAGCTTGGCTATTAGTTTAGACAAAAAAGCAGACACAAACACCTAGTTATGTTCTGCCACACTGTTAGATGCTTGCACTAAAGTGCTCTAAGCAAAAGAATATTTTGCTGTGCTCCTGAGTAACTGAAATCACAGCTTAAGCAGAGTGGAGATTTAAAATACTAGTAGAATGCTTGTTATCTAGGGTAGCTACTGGCACCATTGATCTAGATTAACTAGTTTTCTTGGGAAGCTACTCGAGCAGCTGTCCTAGCAGGGACCCTGTAAGGCTCCCTGACAGTATGCCAGATCCACACCGAGTGAGCCTTGGTGAGAGGAAGACTGGGTAAGCTAAGGTTCTACTCCATTCTTCGGAGTACCATGGACTTGAGTAGTGAAATAAATAGAATGTTGTTACAATAAGTTAAGTCATCTTATTAGTTTTCCCAGTGTCCAATGGGAAGCTTCAGATAGCATAGCATGGCACTCTTAAAACCAAACTAACACCACATCTTACTGCACAAAGTATTGGTAACCTAAGGTAGCTGACTTTGGTTCTCCCAGTTTTTGTTTGGGGGCTTGTGTTTTTTGTGTGTGTGTGGTTTTTTTTCCTTGGCTCTTTGTTTCTTTTCTGGTGGTCTTAAACATTCAATGTTTGTGTAATTGAATATTCATGTATGCATTGTCTATCCCATCCATTGAGCCATATGGATGGCTGGGCATCCTCCTGAAAAGGGGGATGTTAGCAGCCATCAGCCTAATGCAAGGTCAGGTTGGCGCACAGTGATTCTTGTAGCCCAGTGGAGTAGATCTTGGAGTTGATCCAAGGCTGGGTGGGGGGGCTGAGTGCCTATGTGCACCCCAACCCAGTAGGTCAGTTCATGGGGGAAGGAAGGGGCAGGGGATAGATCAAGGCCCCTGCAGTGAGGGACAGTGCCACAGAGGCAGAGCAGGGGTAAGTTGAGTGTGGGGCCCTGGCTAGGTGGGACTTGCCTGCAGGGGAGGCATGCCCCCCAAACTTTTTTCTCCCTCTGCCTCTATACCTGCAGGGGGGCACAGGCCCCCCCTTCCCCCCCCCAGACTTACCTGCTGTGGGGGACATGATAGATCTTGAGTTGCTTTTTAAATGCCAAAGATGATCTCTCCTACTTTTAAAGGTTGGAGACCACTGCTGTAGCCTTCTTAAATGTGGAGAAACTTCAAGTGTGAAGGGAGGGAAAAGGACTAGGCATCTTGCCAGATGGTGGCATGGCCCATTCTTGTTTTCTAGCCCTAAATTTCTGCTTCTAATAATTTCTTTGTCTCTGCAAAAAGCCACACTGGACTATGCTGAAGAACAGCTTGCTTATCTCTTGCATTAGTACTGTACCTTTTTGTTTGCCTAATAACTACCCTTATGATATAGGGGCCAGGCCAATGGAGTTAGGCACCTACTTTATTTTGGGTACTACTTCTCACATCTTAAGCTCCTAAAAATGCTCCAAAAGGTCCTAGCTCTTGCTTCATATCAACTGAAGATAACCTCACGGTGTTGGTAGAGTGTTTATCATTATGTAAGCCTGGCTAATGTCAGTCCTAGTTTAGCCTCAGTTCTTAAGATGACTGACTCTTTCAGATGTCAGTCTTCCAGGACCCCTTGGAGGCACTGGAAAAACTCTGCTAGAGGAGCATGATGGGTTGCTAATGTAGCTTAAGCTCTGGCATCTAGCATAATCACTCACTTTGAAAATATAGGTCCTTTATCTGTGGATGTGCTTAACAAGTGTAAAACCCTGCCATTGATTGTAATCTTGCTACAAAAGCTCACTAACCAGAATTAACTTCATTGTGGGCTTGTGACCAATAGTTGGCATACTGCTCAGTGTGAAAGCTTTGACTGCTTAAATAAACTTCCTTGTTGTTAGTGGAATAAGGTTCCAAACCTATTTTTAATTTTACATCTTAAGTAAGGGAATATGTTTTAAGACTAGGGGAGGGGGATGGCTTTTGCTAGATGCCATAATGTTAAACTGCAGCAGTTAAGTAATATAGCTAAAGTATCCACTTACAATATGCCTGGGGTAGGGAGGCTCATTAGGTAATCTTTTACAATTCCACTTGTTCAATAAATGTCCTAATTGGTTACCCTAATCTTGCCTAACAACTTTTGATTGGCAGTAGATCTTCATATTCCAGCTTTTTGAAGAAGAGCTTTGGGGGTTGTGGGGGGAACCAGAGGAGATGACTGGAATTGGAGGCAGGGATTCAGGCCAGCAGGTGCCTGATGGGTAAGAAGTGTGGCTCCAAACCCAAGCTAGCACTAACCTGAATCAACAGTTCTGTGGCTCCCAGCATAAGATGTAACAAGGCCCTACATTTCCCTAGGTAACAAAGGGAACACAAAGGCTATTAAACAGATGTTACTACACTAATGTCTGTGGCAGTTTTGGAAACAAAAGCTCATTTTTTGCACTGCAGAAAAGAAGCCAGAGTTTGTAAGAGATTCTAACACCATGGACCTTTCAAGACTGATACATTTTAGTTTTGGTGAATGAAGAAATTTGTCCTCTTCTTGAACTCAGATGGGGGGAGGGGAAGATTAAAAAAAAAAAAAAAGAAAAAATATTAATTACATACTATATGTGGCATAGAACAATTCAGGGACCTCAAAAATGCAGATCATCAACATGCTCATTGCCGAACTCAGGCCTGAGGAACACTACCTGCTTCATAGTAATGTGTACCTTGTGAGTGCCCTGCAAACACCCAGCTAGTTACCTACTGACCCAAAGCAATTAGCAGCAGCCCCAAATTTGCATGCACTAGAGACCCACAGGGGTTCCTTCAGGCTGAGCAGAGCTCTTATGGAGGTCTGCCTAGATTTCCAGGAAAGAGACCTTTGTCCTCTTGTTGCCACTGCTATTCATTATAGGCATGCAGAACTAACTTCACTTGTGAGTGAGTCAGTGCCAGCTGGCAGAGTCCAGAAACAGCAGCTCATCATGAGGTTATTTCAGGAAATAACCCTAGACCTGTATTGCTGCAGGACTCTAGTGTCATGCTCAAAGCAATTTGGATTTGAAGGTGCAGACTAACTGAAGATGCTGACCAGCTAGGAGCCATAATCATGCCTGAGAATTGAGCTGATTTTTGTTCTGTTGATAGGACTCACAACACCTGTTCTTGGTGATGATAGCAGAATTGCAACACTTCTTCTAAGCTGCTGGACAGCGGTCTGGAAAAAGTGCTGGCTTACAAAAGCCAAATGAGCACTGGGATAGAACTCCCAGACTGACAGGAAACTTATTTTAATCATAAATTACAATATTCCACTAGCTTCTGGTATATATCCCACAACTCGCAGCAAGAAAAATACTAGTATGCAAGGAGCCTAGCAGGAGATCACTGTACTGGGGATGGCTGCCCAGAATGTGATGCACTTATTTAACAAGCACATACAAGTGCTGTGTGGATCAAGTGATTCAAAGAGGGCAGTAGCTTAAGCTAGCATCAAGAAGCAGGGTAGGTGCTTTGCTTTCAGTATAGTTCCTAATTAAAGCAGTAGAGTCCAGAGAAGAGCCACAGGCATGATCAGAGGTCAGGAAAACACACCTTATGACGACAGGCTGAGAGCTATGGGGCTCTTTAGCCTGGAAAAGCACAGGCTCAGGGGTGATCTGATGGCCACCTATAAGTTTATCAGGGGTGACCACCAGTATCTGGGGAAATGTTTGTTCACCAGAGCGCCCCAAGGGATGATGAGGTCGAACGGTTATAAACTACTGCAAGACCGTTTCAGGCTGGACATAAGGAAAAATTTCTTTACTGTCTGAGCCCCCAAGGTCTGGAATAGCCTGCCATCAGAGGTGGTTCAAGCACCTACATTGAACACCTTCAAAAGAAATTTGGGTCCTTATCTTGCTGGGATCCTATGACCTCAGCTGAATTCCTGCCCCTGGGGCAGGGGGCTGGACTTGATGATCTTCTGAGGTCCCTTCCAGCCCTACTGTTTATGAAATCTATGAAACAATTTTCAGGCACTGGCATACCACCATTTAGGACTTGGGAACTTTTGTACTTTGCACTGTTGGGGATCTGTAGAACCACAACTATGAATCTCATTTATAAAAGGAGATAACTGGCTGCAGAAACATTCTCCCACATCTGTTAACAATCAAGTCTGGAGCCAAGCTTCAGAGTGCAAAGGTCCCATAAGCAGACTCTTGTTGGGGAAAGTGGAGCAGCAAGAAGACGCATGAAAAGAACTGAGCAGCAGAGAGAGATGATCACACCTAGAGGTGGTTTACAGTGTTTGACCTGGCACATCATTGTCTACTACGCTGTTTCCATCCTTCCTCTTCTTTCAGTACTGTGCCAAATGAGGTACAGATGTGAGAAACACATTAGATATTAGAAACTTTATTTAGGTTTGGGTGTTGCAACTGGAAAGTTTAATCATTGGTACTTATCCCTCTTTCCACCTCCAAGTACGAACACAGAAGACAAATAAACATGAAGAAAGAGGGAGGAAAAGCTCTTGAGGCTAATACAAAATTGAACAAACTTGATTTTTTACTCATATCTGGGGATCAGGAAGTAACAGTCTAAAGCAGGAGTGGGCAAAATTGCGGATCTAGCTGGCAGCTGGACTCTGTTTTCCAGCACCCCCTGCCAAGGTCACTGCAGCTGGTTTCTATGAAGACCCCAGCAATGGCAGGGCCAGGGCTTCCAGGGAGACTGGCCCCAGAAGTGTTGGCAGGGTGTGTGGCTGGTTGTGGAGCTGCTTTGGGCCTGGGATCTTGCAGCAGTGACAGTGTGGTCTGGAGCCGGGGCAGAGCCACAGTCCACTGCCTGCACACCCCTGCCTGCTCTGCCCTAGCTCGGGACCATGTTGTCACTGCTGCAGGACACTAACTTAGGTTAAGGAAGCACTGTTGATGGAAGATAAATCTCTACCTTCATGTATATTTTAGGGGATTGAATGCATTTTCAAATGCTAAGTCTGTGATTTGATAAGTTGGATTAATTAATAAAGTTAAAAGGGGAAAATAAACAGGGCTCCATAGCATTACAGATCATTCACTGTGACCTCCATAGCAGGAACACTTATGGATAAGTCATCAAGGACTCCAAGTACTTGGATAAGAATAAGCTGGTTGATCAGGAATAGCCAGCATAGATTTATCATGAGCAAATCACACCTGACCAACTTGATTACTTTTTATGACATTATGACAGGCTCTATACATGGAGGGAGAGCAATAGATATGTTATACCCTGATTTTAGCAAGGCTTTTGACACTACCTTCCACTACATTCTCATTTCTAAACTAAGGAAACAGACTAGATGAAAGTACTGCAAGTTGGATACAAAACTGGTTAGATCATCATGCTTAAGTATGATGTAGCCAGCAACAGTTCAATGCCCAACTGGAAGGAAGTATGAAGTGGGGATTCCTAGGGCTCTATCCTGATTCCAGTATTGCTTAACATTTCATTAATATTTCAGAGGATGGGACTGAGTGTACACAGCAATTTTGCAGACAACACCAAGTTGGCTAGAGTTCCAGACACTCTGGAGCACAGGGCTAGGATTCAGAATGGTCTTGATAAACTGAACAAATGGTTCAAAATCAATCTCATGAAATTCAAGAAGGACAAGTGCAGAGTCCTGTACTTGGGATGAAACAACTGCATTAAAAGTACAGACTGGGGAAAGATTGGCAGTACTGCAGAAGAGGACTAAGGGGTAGAGGAAGGAGAGGGCAGGGATCACAGGGGACCAGAAACAGAATGAGCCATTGCTGTGCTAGGCTGTATTAATAGAAGTGTTCCTTTCAAATCTAAAGGAAAAGAAAGATGTTGACGGATTGGAAGGAGTCCAGCAAATAACAGCAAAATTGATTAGAGGCCAGGAAAACATGATTTATGAGGGAAAGATGAAATGGGATTGTTTAGTCTGGAGAAGAGAGGACTGAAGAAGAATTTGAACAGTCTTCTAATACCTGAAGGATGATTTAAAAAAGAATGGAGATAGCCTCTTTTCTGGCCACAGAGGGCAGGATTAGGAGCAGTGATCTCAAGTTGCAGCAGTAGAAATTTAGGTTGGATATTAGGAAAATTTATCATTATGATAATGGCCAAGCACTGGAACAGGTTGCCCAGAGAGGTTGTGGAATCTCCATCTTCGGTTGTTTTTAAGAGCAGGTTACACAGATACTTGACTGAGACTCTTTTAGTCAGAGACAATCTTGCCTTGAACAAGGTATTGGATTAGGGTTTTGTTTTTTTTAGCTGAAATTGTCCTTATCTTCATAAAGGGATCTGCCGACCATGATCCAGACACACAGCATCGTAGATTTCATGCCAAACACAGAGCATCCCAGCTATCACTGGTTTAACTCAGCATAAGTACAGATGCCACCACGAACAGTGGCCTTTGTCTACAAATAGGCTAAGCACCAGTTTCCATATCTACAAAAACATTTTATTTTCTTACTGTGAATGATAATTCTTAATGGCAATCCCTATAATTTTTCACTCTTGATTATAATGTTGCACCCATAATAAGCTTGATAGGTTAGTTTACATTTAGGAAAAAACAACCTTCAGTCAGTAGAGACCTCTGGTGCTGGTGCATGGTAGCAGAATGGGTGAACCTTGTGTCTATTTCCTCCAGCTGGCTCATTTGTAAATGGGTACCTTGGTGTGCCACTGAATACAGAAACTGGTGTACCTTAACCAAACCAGTTGGATGGGCTATTAGTTACACAGCTGTCTAAGTACCTCTTCTGACTTTGATAGACACCTGGCACCTCAATTTTATGCCACCAGGGTTGTACTGGTAGTTCAAAAGAGTTCCTGTTTTTGAAGATTAGTAACTAACATGTGGGATAAAATATCCTTAAGTGTTAAGTGCCTCTTTGAAAAAAGAACAATATTTCTTTTACACTAAACCAGTGGTATTCAACCTCTGCAACCCTGCACTATGGATGAGGAATGCTGCGCCTATCCATGGGCCAGATCCTATGCATGAGATCTTATCCACCAGTTGGATCCAGTGTGGGGTTAGGGGGCAGGGTGAGTCCACAGATGTGATCCAGCATGCCAGTGCAACCTTGCACACCAGATTCAGCCACAGAGCAGGGGGGCTATGTTACCCAGACCACAGGGCTTTCCAGAGGTTCAGAAATTTGGCAGCAGAAGAGCAGTGGCAATGCTAATTGGCACAGTTCTAGAAGCAATTAATGTTGCTATCACTCCCCTCCCATCAATTTTCCTGACCTGCAAGTCAGGGAGCCTCATGGGCTGAATGACATGACTCTACAGGGGTTGAGCAACATTGGATTAAAAACAAATGGTTGTCAACTGCATTATCAGTAACTGAACTGACCCTTAGCACAAGCAACACATACATGAAAAAGGAAGAGACTTATAAAATTAGTCTGGTCATTTTCAGTTGAATTGTAGTGCATGATTCAATTATTGTTTACTGCAAAACAAACTAAAAAGGGAAGTTATTGTCAGGGTTGTTTTGGGTTCTCTCTTTTTTATAGTAAAAAACTGAAATGCGTTATTTATAAAACAACTTCACAGCTAACATAAGCCTGTGCTTCCTGTGCTAACAATGGTCAGCAACTCCTGGTCTCAAGCATGTGAGCTCTGTCCTTTAATACTCTGACCAGAGGCTTCTGAAGAGCAAAAATGGGCAGCTCCATTTCCTTCAAGATTACATCGGCATGAAATGAATGGTCCTTTCTCTCCAGACATATTTAATCAGATGGTAGCCTTGCCATATTTAGTCAGTGTTTCTATACAAGCTCTTCCAACCTGTAGAATGCCGTAACCATAGCCCCTTCTTGAGAGAACCTGAGAAAAAAGCCCTGTAGTACAGGGCTATTGATTCAATAAGGCCAACACTTACAAGACAGGTTTAACAAAAATCGATACAAATGTTACAATTTGGAAATATCACCAATTTTTACAATTCAGTGGTTTGGCAGATAACCAAGTAGCAGAAAAGCTTTCCTGTTACTGTATGTACCATAACCACGTGTTTTACTTATTACACATTTGACTAAGACATCAACAGCTCTGGTAAAGTAAAGGAGAGGCTTTTTTATGATGAGTAACAATTAGAGCCAAGTTTGCTTCAAATATTTCTCCTGCTTAGCAAAACATGCCCCTTTTTAAAAAACATTTTTTTCAGAAGGAAAGATGTGCAGAATGCTTATAGCTTTCAGTAGTTACACTTTGTCAGCCTTAAGATACTACAGTGTTTTTTTTTCTTATAATCCAGTTTCAACTTGTTCAGACAGGCAGGGAAGTCGTGATCCTCTTTCTAGATTATGGCCCAACACAGAAACCACTCAACATAGCTTAGTTAAGCCCTGAAAAGAATCTCTGATATGAACTGTATTCAACTCTTTCTCCAGTGTTTAAAAGCAAACACTGAAGCATCAAGAACTGAAATAACAGCTGCAAGCAAAAGTGAAACTGAGGTCATTGATCTATTGAGGAAGCTAAAAAAATATAACAGGAGTCCAACAAGCTGGATAAAAAAAAAAAAATCACTTTAATAAGCTAAGATCCTCTTGGCAACAAGCTGGAAACAAATATTTAACAAGTTGCAGGAATTTCAACTAGTCATCTAAACTGAAAATCCTAGATGCCTGGTTGAAACACATGTCCTGACACAAAAGTGGTTTAAAAGTACATTTTTTTTTAGAAAATTATTGGGGTAAAATGTCAACTGGGAGCCCTCACCTGATCCGTGCTAGAACAATGGGAAAATTCTCCTCCCCTGGAGGATTCTTGTCTGGACATACTAAATTAAGAGCAACTCAAATCAGTAATAGCACTGGTACCATAGCGCACAGCATCATCCACTTTTTGCTTGTATTTCTGATAGTCACAATTTCTTCTCTCTTTTCACAGATACTTGAGCTCAGCTTTCTAGATGCATTAAAAACAGTAAAATTCAGTGCTTCCTTAAAAGAGAATTTCCCTGCACCAGCATTATGAAGGGTTCGCAAATTTCTGTTTTTTACTCCTTTGCATACAGGTTACTTTAAAATAACTTGCCCTCTGGAGGCTATTTCTTTTGATAAAGTGATAGGGAGGCTTCTCAAAGTTATGCTGGCTCAAAATGTCAAGGCAGTTTTGCTTTCAGTTTGGAAAAGGAAGACTCAGTGATGCAAGAGCATGTGGCATAACACTTTTCCAGACTGCTTTTGTGGCTTTCTCCTTATAGAATAATGCTGGAAAAAGGAATGCTCAACTTCTTGAAAATGTAGTTGCTTTCCAAATTTCATCTATAAAATTCTACATAAACTGTTTGCTCAGTTTAAGGTATGCTATAGCTTCATTGACAGTAAGCAGAACTGGAGAAAAGGATCCCCTTGGATGTTTTACTTTTACAATTGTTAAAGTATGGACTCTGATAAAATGGCATCTAGATCCTTGCAGGTTTCTTCAGCTGCAATACTCCTTTAAGAAGTCAAAAGAAACCAGGTGCAGCTTCTTTCCAGTTGTCTTTGAGGAAATAAACTTGGATCAGGCTCAGTCACTATGAGCTTCTTCAACATAGCAGAATTATTTTGTCTTTCACCTGCTCAGTGACTGACGTAGCTCTTCATATGTTATCTGATCCTAATAAGAGCAAATTAGGAGGAGGAAGAAAAAAACAAAAATGAAAAACACTTCAGCAGCCAGATCAAGAAACCATGCAATGTTTAAAAGGTGACATCCACTTTTTGCCAGGAAAACTAAATAGCAGCACCCTTGTGCCTGCTGGCTAGTATTTGGCTGAAATATTTACAAAAGGCAAATCAAACAGTCAAAATAAATATCATTTATAAGGTTCCCTTAAGACAAAAGTCACCACTGATCTGCAATTATTAACAGAAATCTCTGTTGGCAGAGTTCTTGTCCTTCACAATGTTTTGCTAGTCAGACACTCCCCTGACAGTTAAATTAAAAAAGTACTAGTTTAAGCTAAACTTCAGATCTAAGTTAAACTTTTGCAAAGCCCTTTGTGTACGGGTCTCTTATTTCAGTCTGAAAGCAATTTGGTGTAGTTTAGCTTAAATCTGTTACCAAACTGAACGGAGAGGCAAGGATTTCCTTAGGGTGATATCTTGGGATAGAGTTAAACAAGCTTTCAAAGGCAAGACAATACTCTTGATGCCTGACAACAGCAAGCCAAGCACAGTATAGTTAAAAACAAAACAAAACAAAACAAACAAAAAAACAAAAACAGTTGCAGGAAGGGATGAGATAAAATGCCAGAGGTAGCACAATTAGCAGAAGAAAAAAAACCCAAACCAAACTGCAAATCAGAGAGACCATGCTGCAGGGGCTTGCAATGGATTAACACTGAGGTAACTGATTACATTTCTCATGTGGGCTGCTCTTATTCCTGTGATGTACAGGAGGATGGTGGATAATGCAGGATGGACAGGTTGCTGCCAACACTCAAGGCATTTTTACACTTTTAAAAGTGCTTGGTGCTGTGACACTTGCAGTTGTATAAATGGTGAAATGCACATCAGCGCAAAGGAAATGGTGGCAGTGCACTTTTGAACTAAAACACTTCGGAGGTGCTTTAGTTCAAAAGTGCACCGCTGCCATTTTATCCTGATGTGCATTTCACCACTTATACAACTGCAAGCGGTGCAGCGTGATGCGCATGTTACCATGCAGAGCAGACTCAATCAAGTCTGCTCTGAAGCAGCAGATCTCCAGTGCGTCCGAGAACTAAAAGGTATGTGTATAAATGCCCACACATTCTTTGTCAGAGCAGATCTGGACAAGTGTCTTAACTGTTAGGGTATTTCTGTGGAGAGAGTGAATCTGTCTCCACCACTTCCCTAGACCGGCAAAACCTTGGACCTGCAATAGTTTAACTAAAACAAATACTTTCATCCAGAAAGTTTTAGGTTTGATGAATCACATGCCCAATGAAGCTTTAGGCTGAAAGCTTTCCAACCAGTTCTAACTGAAATCAAGATTGACAGCTGTCTATTGCTTTTTCAGGGTCGTCTAACTGGCAGTCCACAGGCCTATCATGCCACCCCTGGGCTCCTGCCTGGCCACAGCTCCCCTCAGCACTTTCGATACAGCAGCAGCTGGGGGTGCTCCGTGCTCCCCCTCCCACTCCCACTCCAGCCTCTGCTTCCTGCCCTCAAACCTGAGGGCAGGGCTGTGCCTGTAGTGTGCACATGGTGTGCAGCCTGGGAGAGGGCAGGGGGCTGAGTTGCCTGATATGTTAGCAAGAAAAAAAAAAACACTTTTGCCTTAAGGCTGATGAAGATGACATTGACAGATTATTGTAATGGAGATGTTTAGCACATACAGAAAACAGATAGGCTGAATGAGGTAAACCTAGAAAGGAAAGGGTTTAAATAAACCAGTGTTAACATTCAAATTTCCATGCCAGAATACAGCAATGTCCGTTTGGTCCAATATCCTTATGTCCAACAATCGCTTACTACCAGACAGTCTAAAAGGCAAAAATCCTCAAGTATCTGATCTATCTTGCTATGGCCCTGAGTGCAAGGTAAAACAGACAGGGGCTCTCATTGATCCTCCAGTCAAGGATAATGGCCTGGATAGAAGCAGATGCATTCTAGTTATCAACAGATGGCTGCATAGATGGTGTTGCAAGCAGGGCTTTTACTTTGACCATGGGGTGGTGTTCCAACAAAGGACTGCTGGGAAGAGATGGGGTCCACCTGATGAAGAGGGAACGGGGGGAGGGGAGCAGAAAAGAGCATCATGTACAGGATCACTAACCTAATAAGGAAGGCTTTAAACTAGGTCCCCTGGGAATGGAGACCAAAGCCCAGGGGTATGTGAAGAGCCAGGAGACCTGGATAAAAAACTTAGTAAGAGGAGGCAATAGTGGAAGCTTTAGCAATAATCTCAAGGAGGAGTTAGGACAACAGCTAGTTACCCAAAATGTTTATGAACTAATGCAAAGAAGTATGGGAAATAAACAGGAAGAACTGGAGGTCCCAGTTCAATCCCAGGATTATGACGTAATTGAAATAAAGATGTGTTGGAATAGTTCACATGACTGGAGCATAGTCATGGATGAGTATAACTTGCTCAGGAATGACAGGGAGGGAAAATGAGGTGTTGCCCTATATATAAAGGAGATGTACACACATTCAGAGGTACAATATGGATAGCAGATCAGTGGATGTGATATACCTTGATTTTAGCAAGGTTTTTGACATTGATTTCCTACAGAATTCTCATTAGCAAGCTATGGCAGGGCTGTCTAACTGGCAACCTTTATGTGGCCCCATGGGGGGTTGATTTGTAGCCCCCAAGGCTCTGGCTACAGCAGCAGACAGTACTGCTGCAGTCTGCAGGATCCCTCTTCCACCTCTGGCTTCTGCTTCCTGCCCTTGTCCAGGCAATGGCACAATAGATGGAGAATCAGTGGTGTGGTGAGCTGAGGATGGGGGCCAGGGTGACCATGCAGGGTGCAGCAGGAAGGGGAGGGGGGGGTAGCAGGGGATGGTGGGAAAGGGCTATAACTTACGCTGATGCAGTCCATGTGGCCATTTAAAAGTTGAAATGGACATCCCTGTGCTAAGAAAATACAGACTGGATGAGATAGTAAGGTGGATACATAAACTGGTTAGATCACCATGTTCAGTGAGTAGTCATCAACAGTTCAATGTCTGCTTGTGAAGAAATAACAAGTGGGGTTCTCCAGGAGTCTGTCCTGGGCCCAGTACTGGTTAATATCTTTATTAATGATGTGGAGAATAGGATTGATTGCAGGTTTAGCATACTGGCAGATAACACCAAGTTTGGTGGAACTACAGACACTCTGGAGGGCAGAGCTAGGATCTAGAAAAACCTTGAAAAATTGGGAAAATGCTCCAAAGTCAATCAGATGAAAAAGGACAAATGTCTAGTCCTGCACTTGGGAAGAAACAAGTGTATGCACAAACAGACTGGGGAATGATCGGCTAGACTGAAGAAAAGGACCCAGGAGTTTCCATGGTTCATAAGCTGAACATATGCTACCAATGTGCTCTTGTTGCAAAAAAACTAAACAGCATACTGTATTCTATTAACAAAAGTATTATTTGCAAATTAATGGAAGTGATTCTCCTTCCAATAAATGGAACTGATTCTCCTGCTCTATTTGGTACTGGTAAGGCCTCACCTGGAGTATTGGGCCCCACGCTTCAAGAAGGATGTGTACAATTACCCTCCTGCTAGCTGACACCAACCCAGACATAGTGGAGCTCACCAAAATGTGGTGGGACCCAATGCACAGCTGGGCAGTGAATATCAAGGGCTATAGGCTGTACAGGAGGGATAGGACAGGGAGGAAAGGTGGGGGTGTGGTGCTCTACATCAAGGAGAAATACACACCCTCAACCAATAGCACTGGGTCAGAGGAGGGGCACACTGGGTTTAGAATACAAGGAGGTCGAGGGGAAAGGGACTTAACGGTGGGGGTCTCCTACAGATCACCCAACCAAGCGGAAGAGCTAAACCGGAAATTCTTAAGTCAGCTCACGGAGGCAGTTAGGTCAAAGAACGTGGTCATCATGGGCGACCTAAACTTTCTAGACATCTGCTGGGAAGAGCAGTCAGCCAGGTCTGACCACTCACGTAGGTTCCTAGCCGAGATACAGGACCTCCATCTAACTCAGGAAGTGCACAGCCCCACCAGGGGAGACGCCTTGTTGGATCTGGTCCTGGCCACGGGTGATGACCTGGTGAGGGGTCTGCAGGTGCTCGACCACCTGGGTGACAGCGATCATTGCCTGCTAGAATTCATCATCCAGTGCAAGCTGGCAAAGGCCTGCAGCAAGGCAGCAGCCCTGGACTACAGGAGGGCCGATTTCAATGAGGTAAGGAGAATAGTCAGGGAGACACTGAGGTCCTGGAGGGGAGGGGAGTCGGGTGTCCAAGAAGAGTGGTCGTTCCTTAAGGAGACGATCCTCCACACCCAAAGGGAGGTAATCTCAACACGGGTCAAAGGGGGCAAGAGAGCACAAAAGCCCCCATGGCTCACCAAAAGCATCTGGGAACGTCTCCTAGCTAAAAAGGAGCCATACACCCAATGGAAGGGAGGGGCCATCACCAGGGAGGACTATACCTGTTGCTCAGGACTGCAGGGGGGTGGTCAAGAAGGCCAAGGTGGAGATGGAACTGGGACTAGCTACATGGATCAAGGACAACAAGTCCTTTTTTAAATACAAAGGGGGTAAAAAGAAGGTACCAGGTAACGTGGGGCCTCTGCAGGACACGCTAGGGAATCTGGTCGTCGCACCAGACAGCAAAGCTAACCTATTTAACAATTTCTTTGCCTCCATTTTTCTGAGCAGGGATCGGGTCATCCCTCTCACTGGGACCACTGTAGGCCCCAGGGGAGGCGCATCCAGGCCTAGTCAGAGAGGACTTAGTCAGGGAATTTCTGGAGGGACTGGATGTATTTAAAAATCAGCAGGTCCTGATGATCTCTGTGGCAGAAATGCCACTGTCTGTGTCCCTCTCCAGAAATCTGTCTCTGCCAGCGTGAGAGGCTGGTGCTGAATTCCTCAGGGAGGGGGGAATCACAAAAGCCTGGTGCTTCGGTGTGTGGATTCTCTGGTCACCTGGGAAGGGGGAGGGAAAAGCCCCACTTACTGGCCCAGGTAGCCAGTGATGCTTTTTAAATTGGTTGGCTAGTGGCCAGCACTGGCAGCTTCAATTGGACCGAGGTCAGAAAGGTTATTTAAAGGCCCGGTCCAGTAAAAAGGCAGCCATTAGCCAGGTGGTCGTCCAGGTGAATCTGAAACTGGGAGAGGAGTTTCACCATCTGAAACTGGCTCCCTCCTCATAACCGCATGCTCAAAGAGTGACCTGCCTTCAGAGGAAAACTCCAACCACCTCTGGATGATGCGTGCGAGTAAGCTACTCAAGATCCGACTAGATATTTAGCTCACAGTAACTCAGATGCGAGATCAAAAGGCTACCATCAGCCATACTGGTTTGCTCTATGGGATTCCTCTGATATT